AGAAATTTTGTTATGACCACGATGCATGATAAACCACCCGCTCGAATTGAATGTATTGTTGACAAAAGTGCACGATTGAAATTAATGACATTCACCCAAGCTCAGTGAGCTCGTCCAATATCATTCAATTAAATCTGATGCCGTGCAATTTCTCATTTATATTGTAATGTGCCATGTTCGGTGGGTTTGACTTGATTAGAACACACTATTGTTGTCAATTTTTCATCCAACACAACCAGCACCAGTAAAAACTTATATTGATTCATGATTCATTTAAAATACGATACGAATCAATTCATTTGAGCTGTTCCAATAAATCCTTTCGAATGCAATCTATCGACCTTAATATCATTTTTCGCTCATGTTGCTCGACAGCAATATGTAATTATTTCTCTTTCTGTCTCTTTCTCTCCCTATTTCTAATGCTTTTCCTCTCTTTCGCTTGGTGCGTCAAGTATAAAAGTAAAACAATTGCAAAAGCGGATGAAACGATCAAAATATTCACTCATTCAATGCCACTTTAATTTAATTCCAATGCAGGATAACAATGAAACGTGTATGTTTTCAATTTAAATATGAAAACAATGTGAGTCAAGTGTACCAACGAACGTCAAAGCAGAATTCAAATTCAACGGTTTTCAAATCAAACACTATGCAATCGAATGTTTCCAATGTTTGTGTATTCTTTAATCAAGTGCAGAGGAGAAAAAGAACTAAGATAATGAATGTTAAATTTATTTTTTTCGTGTTCTGTTTTTATTTGTCTCATTTTTCATTTTTCATTTTTACATCGCACTGTCGTTTTTTTGAATCTTTAACAACGAAAACAAATGAAGCGATTGTATTGTAAACAAATAAAGTACATAGCTAGCAACTTCAATGCTCTGCACGTTTTTTCAACCAATATTTGATTTCGTTTGCTCGTACACGTGCACTCGACCAACCACCACCGAGGGCGAACAAAGTTTGTCGTCGTGGTCATCCACACGCCGTATCACGTGTTTCAATTGAAAATGCCTTGGATATATTTTGCCAGACACTTCATTTATTTAAGATCATTTCGCATGAAATAAATTTGATTTTCCATGATACGCTTTGATGTGATGAAAGTTTAAGGTCGACAAACAGTAAGAAGCTCAACAAGTTGCATTTGATCACAAATACGATTACATCATGACCAATAAAACATGCAATACGACTCAAAGAGCAGTGCTGCTTCTATCTGAAAATAAATGCGAACTGGTTATTCCAGAGAGAGACAGAGAAAGTGAGAGAAGGAGAAAGAGAATGGGGAAGGTAATGGGGAAAGAGAGATAGAGAGAATTCTAAATACCAAAATCTCCATATTTTCGTTTACGAAAATGACCATGCCATGCATTCCGTATCTTCAACGGATTGAAACGTTGAAACCAATGCAAAAAGCGACCACAAAAACCATGTGCACTGTTTAACTATGAGCGTCCTATAAACTGGTCTCGACCTTTCTCGAATGGGTATCATTATCAATAAATGCCCATATCAACACTGGCCATTTTGGCTAAGGGATATTCTGCATACCGTTTTTGTATTTGGTATGCAAGTTATTTAGCGTGTTCGTTCCATGAATTTATGAGTAGCACGTAAAGCGCATTTAAAACTGTTCTTACTGTACACACGCCCGTTGCAACGGAAATGTTTCGAGCTGTTTAAACTTCGTTGCTATCGCTTGAAGTTCGTTTAGCTTCTGAATGCAATTAACGCAAATTTGTTGTGATTCATAACTTGTACACCGGCTGAACTTTCTATGCATTGGGCGGCTAGCTCCCGTTGCTTGAGATGATTTAATGCATTTTAGATAAGGCAAATTTTACTGTATGTATGTGTGTGTGTGTATGCACACGAGCAATAAACCTCAGAAACCTTGTCCAATAGTAATTATCTACTAATTTTATGAATAAAAGGTTTAGTTTGTTTTTAAATTCCAAACTTTCGATAAAATATTTACAATAGTTTTTCATCAAAAATAAGTTGCAAAATATCTTACCGACAACGCGTTTACAACGTCATTTTTCGACGATACAATTGTTAACTTTTAAGTGCAATTAAATGGTGCATTCTCTGCAGCGTGAAAAATACATGATTTTTTGCACACAACTTTTTTTTTGTACGATCAAAAGTCACTAACTATTTGCAGTGAAACAATTATTCATTAATTAATTTACATGTAATCACAGACGGCTATCGCAAACAACGGAACTTTGCTAACGTTGTACGCATTGTAGACGTTCTGAGCAACGCTAATGGATTTTATCCTCGCAACTTCCGTACAACAACATTCAACTACGGTATTTTGTGTGCAGTTCGGGCTTTTTTTTCGTTGCATCCGAACATTGTAATCATTTGCCCCGAATATTTACTATCGATGAAATCTAAAATAAGAAGAATAGCCCATTAAAATTCATAGTTTAAGTTGCGATAATCCCATGCATTTATTTGCAACTCACTTGAATAGTTGCACAGATGTTTGCAATGAAAATTCGAAACTATTTTTTGTCCGTTGCAAACCCTTTTGAGAATGAGAACAGGAATTGTTTGTTGATTTTCTCGTGAAATTCAATTTATTCTGGAATTTTGTTACACATGTTTTAAACATAATTTGTGTGTTGAATTTTTCAAATGATCGCTTTTCATAATATTAACAATTGAATTATTCAGAAGTGCAGGTCTTTGAATAACAAAGTAATATTTTCCCCGGTAAAATGCCATGTCAGATTCAATATAACGTTTACTTCGTTTTTTCCCTCGTTCCTGTGAACCAATTTGCTCATTTTTCTTGAAATGAACGTGGATATGTTTTTTTTCTGTACCGTTGTAACGTACAAAACAGTAAAAAAATTGAATTACGTTACATCGAGTGCGGCAATGCATTTGACGAAAGAGAAAATTGGAGCATATGGTAAAAGAGAAATGGCATCGTTTGCCACAAGGTTGAATTAAGCTAGAAAATCGATTATAGTTGCAGGCAAATTACCTTACTCAAATGATGATCGTTATGAAAATATGCATAAAATGGCTTCGAATCAGGAACGAAACATCTATTGCAACGATTCAATTACAGTCGCACACTCACTTTGTGCAAATCCATTTTGAAAAGGTAAAAGTTTTTTTTTATCCCACTCTTAACAGCGCAAGTGATTGAAGGGGCGTTCAATAAACTTTTGTACTTTTCCAAAGATGCTGTTCTTATTGCAACATGTAACATGAACAACTTGATGGCTGATTACTTTCATTGATTCTTGCGGGCTTTTGAACTTCGACTCGCAATCAGCGAGCGATGCGCCACGGCGTCCATTAAACTCAAGTATCATTATGATTTTTTTCTCTCTCTCTCTTTCTCTCCATCCATTCCGTCAGCCTTTTCAACACTTGTTTTGAATAATAATTTCCGTGCGAATAATTGAACAAAGCAACAGTCGAAAACAAGACGAATAATTTGTACGTCTGTTTTATAATATATCATAATTTGTGCTACACAAATCACAAAATAATACCCAAAATGTAATTATACCAGCGATCCAGAATTTTTGTAGCAACGCCATCACTTTGCATTCAGCGGCAAACTGATTTCCGAGCAATTCAATGGAATTCACACTAGGGGATAGACACAAGATCTGAGATACGATCGTTTTTCAAAATACTTAATTGATTTTGTGTAGAGGTGTTCAGATTCGTGAAGATTCATTGAGATTTGAAGGGATTTGAAGAGATTTGTAAAAATCTTACTGATTTGTTTGACCTTTTTGACAAGTCAGCCATTTTGATTTGAGAAGATTCATAAGGATTCATAGAGATTCAAAAGTATTTGAATTTGCTCGAGATTTGAGATTCCTACAGATTTGAAAAGATCTAAAAAGATTCAAGTTTTAAATGTTGTGTCTACCCCCTAGAATTCACATGAGCTCAATTTCGCCGAGTATTTTTCTTTCGGCTCATTCAATGAGCCCCATTGTCAAAGTTCGTCAATTCAACGCGAAGAACGTTGAATTCATTGCGGTGCAAAATCCACCGCAATACAAGTGGATAATAATTATGAAAGCCTAAGCGGTTATTTGAACCTTGTTTCGAATCGACCAACAACATCATTAATTCCGATGAAAAATCATATTTGATTATGTTGGCTCTTCGTGTTACCAAATCTATTTCTCATTTGGACCGTTTTCGCCACGTCCAACATGTGTGATGATCGTGCATAAGGCGAATCGCTGTTTCACTATGGCCGCCACATTGTTCAGCGAGGTGACAATCGTTCCGTATTCGCGTGCTAATGTACAATAATAATTTCAGTCAATGACAGATAGCTGAGATTGGGA